GGACTGACTTGAAGGGGGAGTCTCCAGGGAGAGGGGGTGGACTGTTTGTGGATTTCAGCCCTAAAGGGAGCAGCCCATCCAAGACAGAACCTGGTTAGGACTAACAACATTTGTGACCTGTCACTTACTATGGAAAATTATAATTGAATACAGCTTTCAACTGCTTCAGCTGGGTTATTTTAATAGGAACATTGTTCTAGCCCTCACTGATAAATCCAAATGCAAAGAGTGCCTCATTCTGTTTGGAAGGACCAAGCTGAACAGTACGTTTTGACTGGAAACTCCCTAAACATTTTCTAGGAGCTCTTTCTTCTTGCTGGCAGAAGAAAACAAATCTACTTACCCCCCAAAGAAAAATAAGATTTCCTGAGAAATCTGAAATTATAACATGCTCTTTTAGGCATTGCCACATAATTTACACTTCTGGCAAAGATTCTCCCAGCAGCCACTTGGGATACGTTTTCATTCAGCAACATTGGCGCTCTTATGTAATTTTGATAAAGGTCTTATTCACTAGGATAACCATGGTAACCCACTATCCTTTGGTTGTCCCAACTGGACTATTTGTTGAGTGGCTTGAATTGCTGAGTGACTGGATAACCATGTTACCCATGAAGCATGTGAGGTGGAGGTGAAACTCAGATGATTACATGTAAGACCTCACTAAGCCCTGGCAAGGCGGGAGTTGCGTGGCTCTCCCTACATTGGCCAGGTCCTCCAAAGCTTTCTGTTTCTCCATGTTGAAACTGGCCAATCTTGTCAGCCCAGTGACAATGAAAAAAAAAATGAAACTCTGTTAATAGGATTATACGATTTGGGGAGTAGAATGTTGTTACAGATGATTTATTTTGAAAGCTGATTTCGTTTTAGTGAAAACAAGCTCAACCCTTTACACCAGAGGCTGGGGTGCCAAACACAATCATTTTTAGTTTGAAAGATGTGATTGCTTTTTAATGTGGAAATTTCACAAGGTTACAAAGAGTAGGAAAATTAAACTCCTTTCATATAACAAAGTCACTTTGGGATATGGGTTACAATGCCCTGACAATGTCCAGATACCCTGACCACACTACAAGGCAGAAAGGTGGATCAGTTTGATTTACACCATTTCTCAATTGTTTTCTCTTATGCCTTTGAAATAGCCTAATAGTTTTTTTATGAAAATAAATAGAGTAGTAAGATACTCTAAATACTGTAATTATGCAGGTTCAGGCAAGGACCAGAGAGATAGAGGAAACAAATACAGGTAAAGAAACTTGGTCTGTAGGGGTGTGTGTGTGTGTGTGTGTGTGTGTGTGTGTTGAATTCTTCTTCACCAAAATTATCTTATTTGCTTACTCCAGTTTGATTAAACCAATAGCCTGTCATTCAGCCTGTTCCAATTTAAACTGATGCTTTGCTTTCACCAGTTTCTATACCACCTCCTTTTTTTCCCTTTTCCTAGACCTTTGGGGGATTTGAAAGGAAATGAAGACTTATTGAATCTATTTTTTAAATGTGTTCATAGGATATGACAGAGATTATCAAGATGATGGCTAGGATTTCATTCTGTTATATTCATCAGATCTTATAATTCTTTGCTAATATGTAATCTAGAATGAGATTATTAGAAAATTATATTTTCTACTGTTAAAATCACTAAATTGAGAATGACCAAAAATTTAAACCACTTTGAGGAGAAGTGACTGTTGTGGAGAGTACATCTCTCCATTCTTAAATTAGGCTCTCATCCCTCGCTGGAGAAGATGGTGCCATAGGGGGGAATACAGCAAGGACAATATAGCAGCATTTTTTCAGAACCTTGGATAGAAATGACACATACACCATGAAACCTTTTTGTCATTTCAGTAATGGGTTGTTATTTTTATGCCTGTGCATGTTGAATACATGTCATCCTGTTCTTTTGTGATTAACACGGGAAAGAAGGTGAAGACGCCATATGATTGCAGGGCTGCTTGCAGAAGTTTGGCCAACAAAATTATTATTGCACCTGTTGGAGCCAGCACAAAAGGACACAAGTCTAAGCGTTGAAGGAATTGGGACACTGGAAGGGGAAGGTGTTTGCCTTTTGTTGGAGTGAAATTTGGGGGAATGAGTTGGGAGTCTGAAAAACGAGCAAAGCAAGATTGGAATGCCCAGTTTTTAAATTTAAGCAGATCCTAGTTAGTTCCTGGCAGTTCCCATTTACTACACCATTCACTTAGGACTCAGCCAACCCAGAGCCGCCAGACTAGCTAATGCCATGTGCTGAATGTAAATTCCTTCCATTTTCCTTTTTTTGATTCTTCCTTTTCTATTCATTATTACTTTAGGTCTCATATGGAAATATCTACATCGATTTTTTAACTTCCTGGCATCTGTTCATATCAGAAAGAGACTTGGACATGGTAAAATACAATTGGGGTTCATTATGGATCAATATGCTTGGGGAAAGGGCTCTATTTATTGAGGGGCTACTGTGTTCCAACTATTTCACATAGTTATTTAATCCTCACAAAACTTTGAGATAGATAGTAGTATCCCATTTTGCAGAGGGAGAAACTGAGATGCAGGGATGTTAAGATACCACAAGTCCGTCTACTCTAAAGCCTGCACTCATCCCACTGGGTCATTCTGCCTCGCACCTTCACTTGAGGCAAAAACCTAACAGTTCTCCTCACTGAGGACTGGACCTAGTCAATAATATGAGTCTAGCCATTTCTCCTTTTAGAATCCCAGAGTCCTTGGTTATGGGACTTGGGGGAAAGGGTTTGGATATCTTCAGATGGAAAAAAAAAAGTGAAGCATAATGTTCTGTAGTCAAGTATATATGTGATATGTGTGATCAAGTGCTATTGGCTATGTAGTTTGGTTCTGCAAATAAGGCTCTGAAACAATTAATAATAAAAAATACGACCCTATAAGTATATTATGTGCACAGTTCTTTTTGCCCTTTTCTCTACATTTTCACATATAATCCTTCTAACAACTTTATAACTAGGCAAGACAGAAAGTAGAAGCTATGAGTTAGAGAGGTTAAGCAATTTGTCTGTGATCACATGGACAAGCAAGTCTAGTCTAAAACAGAGCTAGACTTTTTATAACTCCTAAACCAATTCTTACCACTCTGTTGTGAATACCAGATCAATATCCTGCTTAACACTGGTGCCATGAGGAAATCATGCCATCTCAGAGCATCCCCCTAGTATTCTGTTCATCATACTGCTTACATTATTGGGTCACTCATTTTATATCCATCTACTGTTAGCTCTTTGAAATGAGAGACCGTCTATTTTGTTTTCTTTTGGGGGCAAAAACACATCTAACTTTCTAAATTAAACAGAGTGCTAATTCTTAAGACCCACCACTGATGATTATCAACCTTTTGCTATATTTCCTCTGTCCTTCATCTCTGTATTCTTGGTACCTAGCATAATGCCTGGCACATAGTGGGTGTCCAGTGAATAGCAGTTGAATTTAACGGTGGGATCCACAATTATGAGGATGAATTAGGAAACCTCTTAACTAGTGCCAAAATAATATTTCAGATTTATTTCTTTACTAGAGGCCCGGTGCATGAAATTGTGCATGGGTGGGGTCTGGCTGACTAGCGGGGGGGCCGCAGGAGTTTGGCCAGCTGGCCCCGCCTTCTGGTCAAATTCCTAGTCCAACTCCCGGTTGAAGAGACAATTTGCATATTAGCCTTTTATTATATAGGATTCCTAAAGATTTTGTGTCTGGGGTATTTCAAAAGCATTTATCCATATTTTACTCTTTTATGGTATTTTGACAATGGTGATCATAAGAAGGCTTTGTAAAATGACATTTCTCATTATATTTCTTTTTTAAAGGTGAACTATACATGCCCTTACAACAATATCCCCACAATGAATGAGTCTTAGGGGGTATTGATTAATAGCTTCTTTAGTTAAAGAAAAAGAAAAACGGTTTCTTCTTGGATTTCAGTGGTTACTAAGACTGCACAGTCTACACATAAATTTAAAAAAAAAAAACTGCATGAAACCAGACTCCAAGCTCAGGGGCAAGCGTGCACACTGCACCAGAAACCATGCTATTCTGATCCAAATGTACTAAATCCTCCTGTAATGTGTGGTCAAGGAGTTAAGTTCTAAAGGAAAATGCAAGCAGTCCAAAGTGGAAACCAAAGACGTCTGTCTTCTTCAGCCTCTGAGCCTGCGACAGAACTCCGTAGTGGAAGGTGTGTGAATGCTCCTCTCAGGAATGACAGCCTCACTAAATGCTTCGAAGGAGTTAGAAAGGAAAGGCCAAGTTTGGGTTTGGAAAAGAGAGGAAGCAAACTGCCTCTGTGGTTTGTTATGAGATCCTGGGAGGAGCTTTGAGCATTACAAAGAGTCTTTCCTCTTCCAACCCTTCCAACCTCATCCTCAATCCCTCAAGGATTTCATTGTTTTTCATAGGAGCTTACCCGCAGGCTGGGGAGGAAAGGCTGGCTGTAGAAGAGGACCCCTCAGCTCAGGTCTCCTTTGGCATGACCTGTGACTCCAGCCCCTAATGGCAGATTCTGACTGTGAGCCTAGAAGCCCTCTTTTCATTGAGTATGTCTCCCCAAGAGGAAAAACTGCTTCGTGTGATGACTTTATGGCAAATGCTGGCAAAAGCTGTGCCCTGCATACTGAAAGGGAGACATTTCTGACCGCAGCTCATGAACCACACTTATTTACTCTGGCACATGCCCACTATTTGTTCATAGGCTTTCTGTCTCTACTAAATGCGTTCCAATTTTGGAGGCTAAATCATTGCCAGTAGTTTCCAGGACATTCTGCTAGGCTAAGCAAAATCCCCCTGAGCGGTAGTCAGAAACCACTGGAGTAGTATTGTAAATACTGACTATTTGCAGAAAATGGAAGATACCTAACATCTTATCGGTTTTTTGTGCTGCAGAATTCCCTGGGTCATATGGTGCAGAAAGTCATGCATGGCACTAACAAGAAATAAGAGCAGGATACAAGGGCTTTCATTGCCACTAGAACTCAGAAATTGTGCTTGAAACCACTTTGAAAGTTGGTCCCAGCTGACACAGCGGTAAGTGCATACCAAGGTCTTGTTCAGGAGGCATGCTAGAGATTAGATGCAGCCTCACCCGTAGCAGCCTCTTGAATGAATTTTAAAATGGCCATGAGATCTGAAAACCATGAAGCAATGCTATAAAGAATGTAGTAATTCTCATGGGCTCCTTAGTAACCATGTTTCATCCCATCCCCATGTGAGCCATCGCTGTGGCCAGTGATGGCTTAATGAGTCACGTTGAACCACGCTGACTTCAAGATCTGGGAAAACTGGGAAATTCTCCATTTGTAACAAAAACCCCCAGCACTATTGAGGTGCTGAGTTCCCTGTCTTGCCCCAGACAGCGACTGAATATATTTTATATATTTCTATCTATATCTCTTTTGCCTGTTTTCTACTAGATTAGTTTCTAACCAGAGCAGAAATTTTTATTTACGCATGTACATTAATAATGAATAAAAGTGCATCCAGCAACTTTGATATTGACGTATCACTATGACCGTGTATGTGTTTGGAAAGAGGAAAGAAACTCCTAAAGCAAATGCTCAGTATCTGCCAAAAGTAATGGTTTTCTTTTGAGGTGGCTAAGCAGATTCTTGCAAGTACTTATGTTTTACAATACCTCGTGAGACACTGAAACAAATCTCTTTCATCCTAAGGGTGAAACAAAATTAAGTTGAAATAGGCCACAATTGTAACTCCATGTGTTGGGTTAGGAGGCAGAAGGAAAGGTATACATACCTCTATCCATGTGTGTTCTGTTAATGTTTCAGGCATTTTAACTTTGGGTAGTGGACAGCGTGAAGGGGACTAGGTAGGAGCAAGGCCACCACATCAAACTGATAGTGGGGTAGAGGGAACATTTGACACCTCCCGCCTTCTCTGCCCCCTGTCTGTTTTTAATTTTGCTAAATCATTCCCGTCTGGAAATTGTATATTTAAATTGCCTCTCCAAAGTAACACAGAGGTACAGTGTCAGGGAGCCTGATCACAGAGCCAGGCCAAGAGATGCGAACTGTGTAAAGACCCTGAGGGACAAGCAAGACAGAGAAGGGATGGGTGGGTCCTGGGTAAAACGACATTAGCTTTTATGACATGCGCAGTAACCGTGAAGGTGGCTCTGGGAGACATAACATTTCTCTCGTGGCGAGTGTAAGACTTTTCGAGTTTGTTTTTTTAAGTTAATATCCCTTTGAGAGTTCTGAAGGTGACTACTATGAAATTTTACTGGAAAAGAGATTCCGCAGCAAGAGACTTCAAAGTGAGCAGATTTGTGCATCATAAATATGAAGATAATCGAAAATGGGAGAAAACTGGTGACAAAAACTAAAATGTGTTGCACATATGCACATGCATGAAACATCATGATTCCGTGGAGCACATCGGTGTGAGTTTAAGAAGAAAAACATTACCCTCTCTGCAAATCCTAATGCCGCTCCCACTGACGTCACTTAGATTTATTTGGGGTTATTTGAAATTAGCACATTCTAGGGATTGGCTTTTACACGTACATGTTTCTAAAATACATCCACATCTATAAGATGGGCCTGATAACAGTTTCATCTATAGAAACATTGTGAGGCTCAAATGAGAGCAAAGCAAGTGAAGTGCTAAGCATGGTGCTTGGAACGAGTCAGTACTCAAAAATCATCTGCTATTATCATGCAGAGACGTACACAACATGGGAATATCTTTTAACGTGGTGCAGTAAGGATAACCAATAGCTTCTTCTCTAGAAGGGAATAGCCTGAAGCCTGATTCTAAATTGTTTTCATCTTTTTGTTTATTTTGCATATACATATTCCCCTGCTCGGGTTTACTGAGCACTCTGAATTTGGCCTCATAGCAGCTTTTTGCACCACTTTAACAACCTCCTGACAGTGTCAATATCGTGGTTTTAATGACAGGAAACAGCAGGATAGGTGTGGGCTCACACACAGATCTGCATTGCATTTAGAAAAAACTTCTGAATGGCACTTCTTTACGTTTCATCACCATGTGGAGGAATGATAAGACTCCCTGTTTATTCTTTTGCTAGTAAAGTAAGTGCTGTTTATTACGGTTCTGTAATGGATTTACCTCATCACTTTGCCAGAAAAATCCCTGCTTAGTTGTATGCCAAGCAGCCATTCTTCCTTAAAACTGAACAGTTACAACTTTTGGCTGTTTTGCTTAAGCATCTTTCTGTAATTGTTATTATTTAATAGTTGTAGGTGCAGTGGAGAAGTTACCTGAAATGAGAGAACAATTAGCAAATGAAGACCAGAGATTCATTGTGTGTGTGTGTGTGTGTGTGTGTGTGTGTGTGTGTATGCATGCGTGCATGCGCACATGTATGCATGTGCACTTGAACAAGAACTGGAAATCCTACACCCTATGTGTATTTATGCATATGAAAGGCATGCGTTTGCATACAGAAACCACATAATTATTAGGAACCAGCAATGGTGTTCTTGAGTCTCACTGAAAATCACTGTATGTCACATGGGAAATTTTCCTAAGAGCCTAAATCAGAGCCCTGCTCAGTCAATAACTCAGTGAATGTGTCCTGGCTAGGCTACGAAGATATTCAGAAAATCTTGGATTAGCATAGCAAAAACGAAACATAAACAGTGTCAAATCAAAATTGCTGTAGGCATTTTAAAAGTTATTTGGCTTAAGTCACTAAATAATCAGAAATAAAGCATTGCTGCTATTTTCAAAGAACAGTTAGAGATCAGAGTGAAGGTTTGATCAGAGCCATATAAGCACTTAAAAGAAAACAGGCGAGGATTGTGAGGTTACATATTCTAAGTAAGCTGCAGGCACTTCTGAGTCATTTGTCTTTCTGATCTTTTAGGAATCAGCCTGTTGGCAAACAATGGGGTGAGACTGGGAATGCCTGGGTGAGGGTGCATGTGCACATAGGGGGTGCCTGGGTGAGGGTGCATGTGCACATGTGACAAAGGAGGTGCCTTGGTGAGGGTGCATGTCACATAGGGGTGCCTGGGTGAGAGTACATGAGCACATGGGGAGTGCCTGGGTGAGGGTGCAGTGCACATGGGAGGTGCCTTGGTGAGGGTTCATGTGCACATGTGATATGGGAGGTTCCTAGATGAGGTTGCATGTGCACATGGGAGGTGCCTGAGTGAGGGTGCATTTGCACATGTGGCATGGAGGGTGCCTGGGTGAGGGTGCATGTACACATGTGGCATGGAGGGTGCATGTGCACATGGGAGGGGTGCTGAGCACCCATTTTTGGTGTCAACTCCCCCAGGAGGAGAAAGGTATGTATAGTCAGTCCTTGGTCTTCCTGTTGACAGAGCAGTTAGGCATGTTCTCCGTCTGCCTCACTCCCTGCCAGCATCTCTTCTCTCAGCAATGATGAGACCTGGCTATGCAAAACAGATACTCTGACTCTCCCAGGCTCAAGGGCAGGGCCTTCGTCACTCAGAGTAGGCATTTATCTATGTGCATAATTTTAAGGGGCTAAAAACATGTGTCTATGTCCCCAAAATATTACTCCCACCAATTTACAACATAGATCGTGAAGCTTCTCCACTGAAAATTCGCACTGCTGTATTAAGATACTGCTGCTCACCCATGGAAGTGTAAGCCTACCTGCTACCTCTGTAGTAAGAGAGACAGCATATTAAACTGCTTTTACCCTTTGAACTTTCATTATCATTCAATTACCAAATAGCATCCCCTCCCTGGAAAAGCAGAAATACATATCCAAAGGGAAAGGGCCATGATGCAGGTGGAATTTGATAGGAAATGTGATCAACATGAAAAGTAGATAAAGTCCACAGCATAACAACTCAGGTGAGGGGCACAGTAAGGGGACGTTAAGTAACCAGATTATGAAATTATACCTCTGGGCAGGGGAATTACAGGAGAGGAAGCACAGTTTCAAAACAAGTCAACATTGCCAAAGAACTGCTTACCAGCATTTCCTAAGGTGGGTCCTGCTGGCATAGACCTTCCAGCAAAATGTATTGTTAAAATTGTTACCTCTCCACCACAAACACATGCCCTACCCCCACTCTGCCCCAGTGCCCCGCATGGCAGCCTGTGAACCACTCATGGAACAATAATGTTCAAGGAACCTAGAATTCTTCAACCAAATGATCATGTTTCAGATTTCCCAATTCTAACACGCAAGCCCTCACCTTGGCACATCAGTAAATCCTTGTCATATTGTTGGCTGAAAGACGGCAAGCAAATCTCTTAAGAATTGCAGAGATGAGTGCAGGCTACTCAGCGTGACCTTGCCAAGAGAAGATCCAGTACTTCCTGGGTAGTGCCTGTCCCATAGCTGGGAATAGGTAATTATTTTAAATCAGAAATACACACACGCACACACACTTTTTCTAACTTACCAACTTCTTACTTTCTTTTTGCAGGCCTTTATGCATTAAGAGAACTGCAGGTGTTTTTAATATGTAATATATAATATGACCTATTACCATTACCCAAACGGAATTGGTTTCCTAGAAGACCAGAAGCCTGGCTATCACCCCACCCTTTCCAACCACCTGATGCCGCTATTTCCAAATCGTGGAACTTCCCCAATCACCTGGGACTGTAGGACTCTTGAGGTAAGTGCCTAGGCCATGTTTCACAAACAAGCCCTGAAACTCCTGGGAAAGGAGCTGTCCTGACCGATAAGAAAGGGGCTCTCCAGGTTTTGTTGTGGAATGTCTAAGGCAGTGGTCGGCAAACTGTGGCTCACGAGCCACATGCGGCTCTTTGGCCCCTTGAGTGTGGCTCTTCCACAAAATACCACGTGCAGGCATGCATGTACAGTGCGATTGAAACTTCGTGGCCCATGCACAGAAGTCGGTATTTTGTGGAAGAGCTACACTCAAGGAGCCAAAGAGCCGCATGTGGCTCGCGAGCCACAGTTTGCCGACCACTGGTCTAAGGGAACAGATGAGGTAGGGTGAAGGAGATGGAGTTGATACCTAAAACAGGGAAAGGGATAATTATATGGAAATTTTAGTTATTCAACTCAGTCCCTTACATTACAAAGGAATTTCAGAACTCAGTTGTCCTGATACCTTCTTAATTTTGATAAAAGCTTGTGATTTAAAACAACAACAGAGTGTTGTTGACATTTCAGGGTCTATCAGTGTCTTACGATATAGCTAACTATGTCAATAATATTTTTTAAAGATGTACTCTCATTTTAAATAGAAAAGGGAAAAAAGGAGAAAAACTCACAATGAACTCATATGGGTATATGCATAACCCATAGACCCAGACAGTAGGGTGGTGAAGGCTTAGGAGAGAGTAGGGGTGAGAGGGCAATGGGGGAAAGGGACATATGTAATCCTTTCAACAATAAAGATTTATATTAAAAAACTCACTTTAACCACTTCATTTCATTTCATTTTTAAAGAAAACTACAATCAAGAATGATAAAGTCATTCAGCCTCTGTTATCACAAATGTTCATAAAGTTATACTAAGTGTGTAATTTATTCTCACAGCAACTGCATCAGGAAGGCAACACACAACAAAATTTAGAGAGGTTAAGAAATAGCCAAACAATCAGGTGAAAACAACTCTGTTCCCTCACTCGTCATTGAATCTTCATGATCCACATTTTCTAAAGTGATTTATTTGTTAAACATTGAATTGATTGTGTCCTTTGGTGCTATGAGGACACACACAGACTTAGATGAAAAAAAGTGATCAATTTCCCAAAATTAAATAATAAATCAAGGTAGTGGTAGCTACTAGACTCAGCCTGGAATATAGTTGTCAAAACATGTAATCCCAGAAATATCGTTCCATTCATCAACTCAAGAAAAGCTCTCCTTGTGAACCACAGAAATTAAGTAGTTTTAACAGAGATTATATCTAAAGAGGCCACCCAAATTCACCTTTCAATTTTCATTCTCTGGTAGCACCCTAGAGACATTAAGTATCTTAGTCCAAAAATATATATGTTTCATTGAAATTAAGTATGTTGAGTTTTCCATTATCTGAGCTAAAATTAAGAGTCAATCACAGACTCTTTCTACCAGATAATGTTACCAAGGAAAAAAGTCTCTTCAAGATTCTTGTGGATTACATAGTCAGACAAAATGTTCCCTGTGCAAGGCTGTGCCTCTGAACAATTACGATGCTGACCCAGCACAAGCAATGTCTACATGTGGTCTTTGGAATCTGAGTAGGAAAGCTAAAACAAGTGGTCATTACGGAAGGGGGTTTTAATAATTGCTTTAATGGGACAGAGTGATTTTATGTGAAGGTCTTTGTGACAACTCAGGAAGAAACAATCAAAAGGAAAACTGTTTTTACAGCTTGTGACAAGGTAATACCAATAAATAGGAATGGCGCCTTGACCATTTATCCCAGACCCTAATACTTAGGTTGACCATATAATTTATTGTCCAAACCCAGATTCTTTAGAGAGTGGAGTGGGGTGCAATTAACAGTTACACTGGAATAACAGGTGTGAACTAGACATTTCAGGCAAACAAGGCAAATGATCTCCCTACTAACACTGGGGAGGAGGTTGATTATGGGAGAAGAACATTGGCATAGGGAGGGTTTCCAATTAATATTTAATATGAAGGGAGCTTTTATAAGGAGTTTAATACATGCTCATTCTAACCATAGAGGTTAGTGATGCTTCAGTCATGTCCTCATTTTACTGGTCATTAAATCAATGAGTCTTATCTTGTCAAATGGTGGGTTATTTTATATATTTCAGGTGTATTGAAAGGGACATTGTTTTTTATTAATCCTAGAAACCAGTTACTAAAGCGTAGTGATGCCCTTGTCTCCTGAACACGAATGCCCATTCCACGGAGAGCAGCCTACTTACCTGGAAGGCAGTGCCTCTTCTCAGAAACTTCAAGTTTAAGAAATGAAACAGCTTTTCTTTTCTTTTGGTTCATGTGTTAGTATTAAAATAAGATAAAACATTTTTCTCCCACTTAATTGAAGTGGTCTATCCCTCTCTTGAGTAGGACAGTCATCTTAGAGAAGGGATTTGGTGTTGGTGTTGAAGAAAGTTCATCAGTGGCTTGGCTATGAAATAAGAGATGAAGAGTTCTAAAAGCCTGTGTAGAAAGACGTATAGAAGAAAGCAGGAGAAACTTGAATAAAGGAAACAAAGGAAATAATATTATTTTAAAAGGATCATCATGTAAAATGTAACTCTAGGAGGAAACTGAGTAAGAAGTGAAAATTCTCTGTACTGTGTTTACAAATACTTATGACTCAAATTATTTCAAAATAAAAAGTTAACACAAAATTTTAAAAATGAAGAGAAATGAGGAAGTATAGATGGAGAAATAAACTGTCTTAAGACAAATGTCATGTAATTTGGATATGCTATTTGTTATTCAACATTCAGCAAACACTTTTTGAGCACTTTTTTCTGTAGCAGTCGTTTTTCTCAATGTCGAGGGTACCGTAGTGCACGAGACAGAGTTCCAGTTCTCATCGAGCTTACATTCCAGGGGAGATATATAATAAGCAAGTAATAGGTGGATAATATTTCAGATGGTGATAACTGCTCGGGAGAAAAACAAAGCAGGATACAGGGGCAGAGTGAGATAGTCAAGTGCTATTCCAAAGGCGTTCAAGGAAGGCTCTCTGATAAGGTAACATTGGGTCGGAATAAAGGGAGAGGACTGAGCCACCTGTATATCTGAGAAAAGAGCATTCAAGACAGACACTACAGCAAGTGCCAAGGCCCTGAGGTGGGAGCATGGCCAACAAGCAGCAAGGAGGTCACTATGTCATGAGAAGGCGAAGTAAGAGAGGATGAGTTCAGAGATGTGGGGTGAGTACAGGAAGCCTGATAGGCCTTGTAGTGAAATGGGAGCTGTTGGAGGGTTTTGAGCAGAGCAGTGATTTATATTTTTATAAATAATCTGATTTATATTTTTAAAGGCATTTAAAAATTAAAACTTTATTTTTTAGACCAGTTTTTAGGATCACAGAAAAATTGAGGGAAAGTACAGAGATTTCCTATATACCTCCTGCCTCCGTACACGCACAGCTTCACCCATTATCGACATCCTCCCCAGAGTGGAACAGTTGTTAGAATTGATGAACCTACGTTGATACATCAAAAACACCCAAATCACTACTAAACTAATTCAGGTGAGTAATACTGAGGCTTGGACTAGGGCAGTGATGGCGAACCTTTTGAGCTCGGCGTGTCAGCATTTTGAAAAACCCTAACTTAACTCTGGTGCCGTGTCACATATAGAAATTTGTTGATATTTGCAACCATAGTAAAACAAAGACTTATATTTTTGATATTTATTTTATATATTTAAATGCCATTTAACAAAGAAAAATCAACCAAAAAAATGAGTTCGCATGTCACCTCTGACACGCGTGTCATAGGTTTGCCATCACTGGACTAGGGCTTCAGTGGTAGAGATAGTGAAAGTAATCAGATTCAGGACATATTTTGAAAGTAAAGGTTTGATTGAGTGGCCATCTACCAATATGGAAAGGATGGTGGGGCAGTTGGATCTATCTTTTGGACAAGTTAAATTTGAAATGCCTGATAAAAAGCTAAATAGTGGTGTCGAAAAGACAAGGGTCTGTACTTTAGGGCCAGATTGGGATTTAGACATAAAATTTAGAAGTCATAGCATGGAGATGGCATTCAAAGTGAAGGGGCTAGATGAGATCACCAAGGGAATGAGTGTAAATAGAGAAGGCAGGTGGCTCTAGAACTGAGCCTCGAGCAGTCATGATGTTTTAAGGTGAAGAGGTTAAAGAAGAGACTAAGAAGGAGCAAACTGTAAGATATGAGGAGACCTGAGAGAGATTCTTCTAGAAGGCCCAAGAGAGT